GGGGGTGGGGGGGGAGGGGGGCAGGTAGGTACCTGGACGATGTGGACGAGTGTCTTGTCTGCTGCGCCATACTCTTCTCCGATGATCACCACGTTGGGATGAGTCTGGAGGGCGCACTCCAACACCTGACGAAAAGGCAGACAGACAGAAGCACATGGATGGATGGATGGACATAAAGCTGTGATGCCTGACCTCCGTCGAGGGGTCTCTGCCCATGATGCGGACGAAGTGCCAGTACTTGGGCATCGACGCAGCGTCGGTGAGGATGTTGCCCACCAGAGACGCATACACTTTGCTGGTGGAGTCGAAGCCGATGCAGCATTCGATCAGCTCGTGCTTCACATTGTTGGAGCCAGTGGCGGGGATGCCGATCACAGACGTCCCGCAGCCCTTCAGCAAAAAGTACTCGGTGAGCATGGCCGCCTCAGATATGGCAAAGGCTGAACCCACCAGCACCAGGCCGTCAAGATAGAGGGTCTGCAGTGCAGCCAACACAACGACAAAGCATACCCGGACCCTCAGCATGTCGCACGCTCTCTACCCTGCTCGCTTACCGCGCACGTCTTGCGCGCCTTCTCCTGGCACTCTGTGTGCATCAACGAGTGACTCAGCGACCTGCCGGACGCACAGAGGGAAATCAATAATCAGCGGGCCGGGCCGCACGGAGCCTACGGGAGTATCCAGGCATCAATCAGTGTATCTCACCTACCTGCCGAGGATCTCCATGCCTCCCATGTTGACGTATGGGGCGAGATCGTCCTCTTCCAGTTCGCAGAACTTGCAGTCGAGCAGCCCGTTGAGCCCGTAGAAGCCGATGCATGTGCCCTGCACGAGCCTGAGGCGCTCGTGGATACCCCAGAGGATGTTCATGACGCCCGGCGCCTGTCTCGACATGAAGACCACGCCGATCCGCAGACCGGGGGAGATGGGGGGAGTGTACTTGTCGTGCTGCATCTCCTGAATGTAAAACTGATGCCTGAAGGGAGAAACAAAGAAAGGGACGAGAGGGAGGGGAGCGCACACAAACAATCTTGATGGCGCTAGCTGTCTGCGAGTTCACTGCTGCAGGCAGTATCATTGATTGACCTGTTTGAGAGGTGTGGGTAGTGCACGAGTGTCTGCTTGAGTGTGTATGGGTCCTTGGGGATGTACTGGTCGGTCTGCCGCGCACGCGCCTTCATGTCCGAGCAGAGTGCGGGGATGGTCGGCCTTATCGTCACCCGCCATCGCTGCAGCGACGACAGCCAATCCAGCGACTTGTGGAAGGCCGCCTTCTTGCAGGCACGGTTGTCGCACGACGGGTATGTCAGCTCCTCCTGCAGTGTAGGTCGGCCAGTCACATGGACAACAGGTGGCATGCTTTCTTAAAGGGTACGTGTGTTTTGTTTCTGTCTATCTGTCGCACCTTCGTTGGCACAGCTACGGCGTAGTTGGCCAGGTCGGCGACAGGGCCCTCGAATTGGATGGGCCCCGGGGATCTGTAGACGTCCTCAGTGGCCCAGACATCGCGGACTTGGTCGAGGACTTTGAAGAGCGGGCTGTCGAGCTCGACCAGCCGCCGCTCGACGCCCGGGAAAGTGCTCTTGCCGTCGCTGATGACCTTCATCATTCGAGTCAGCGGGCAGCCCGCCGGACGCCACTCCCGCGGATGCTTGTACAAATCACTGGGAGTCAAGACACACGCTTACACTCACACATCACACACAGAGGGAGTGTGTGTGTGTGTGTGGGATGGTCGGCGTACCGGACCACGGACATATAGCCGTTCTTGTTGTTCATGATCAGCGCGCCTGAAGGAGAGGCACATCGTATAGAGCTCATCGTGTCATTACACATAATGCGTTTTCTCACCTGCTGTCTGTCCCAGTGCGTAGCAGTAGTTGGCATCGAAGTTTGACGGCATGGCACAGCGGCCCTCGTAGCCAAAGTAGTGGGGCATCACAGTGAAGTCTGGCATGATGTTGCGGCGCTCCAGCTCCTGCTGGACGAGCAGAATCAGCAGGCGCTCAGTGGCGATCTTGGCAACCTGCCATGCAATGCGACAAAAGGAAGGCACAAGACAGACAGACAGACACAATCAGTGAGAGGTCATGTCTGTCGGCTGGCTCATTTGCTGTCTGTCTGTCTGTCTGTCTGTGCGCGTGTGTGACCTTCCTTACTTGTATGTAGCCAGAGGCCTCTCTGTCCAGGAGGAGCTGCTCCTGGATGCTCTCAGGCAGGAAGTCCCACACCTTGGCCGCCTGCGGAGATAGACGCTTCCTGTCGAAATCCTGAGTGGCCACCCAAACAGAAATGGGGACGGACCGACAGGCAGACAGCATCAGAACATGACCTGCTTATCATCGTGATCGTGTGTGTTGGTGTGTTGGTGTGTGTGTGTACCCCCTCCTTGAGGACTCGATTGAGGTCACCAATGAGCACTTTCATCTCGGGAATGAACTCGATCAACCCTGCATACACGCATGCAGGAAGCATAGCATGCGTTGCGTACAGTACATGTGTGTGTTGTGTTGGAGGCGAGAATGGCTGTCTGTGCTGCCCTGCCAGACTGGACTGACTGACCCTCAGGCACAAGCACGATGCCGTAGTGCTTCCCCTGAAGACAAGACAGACAAGCAAAAGGAGGATGGACACGTACCAGGTAGGTACGAGTGGATGGATGCAGCCAGCTATGGAGGCAGGCCTTCGCTTTGCTCACCATGGCAGCCCTCCTGACGATCAAATCGATCACACTGTCGACGATCTCCTGCAGTGCAGACGCACACACAGATGACAACGCATAACGGTCAGCTGCACACGTGTCCGCCGATCTTCGTGCACCTGCTCACCGACAGGCCGATGTTTTTGGCCTCGACTTCCTCTCCGATGAAGACCATGTTCGGCCGCGTCTGCATGGCGCACTCGAGCACCAAATGACTCGCAGAACGGCCCATCACACGGACGAAATGGTAATAGTGCTGCGCTGTGCTGAGGTCGGTGCAGAGGTTGCCGATCAGCTCCGAGTAGACCTTTGCCGCCGTATCGAAGCCGAATGACGTCTCAACCACCTGCAGCCACACCACACATCCAGCCGTCACTGCAGGTCGCTGTAAGCTCCATGTGCACATACCGCATTCTTGAGGTCACCGTCGATTGTCTTTGGCACACCAATGACGGCGCACTGGGGCAGCGCCGAACCAAAGTGCTCAGCCAGGAGGGCCGCGTTGCTGTTGGAACCGTCGCCGCCCACAACGATCAGCCCGTGCAGATCCAGCCGACGGCACACCTACTCACACAAAGCCAGCCAAAGTGATCAATATGAATCGGACATGCTATGCTGTCCTCAGGTGCTGTGTGCCTATGTATACCTCCACGGCTCTGGCTTTGTCCTCATCGTTTCTCACTTTCCCTCTCCCCGACCACAGCATGTCAAAGCCTCCCTGGTTGCGAAAGCGGTCCATCTCACCGGCCATCACGTGCTGCCAATCGACACAGAGGAACCATCGCAGAATGAATGAATGCATACACTTGCGTACTCGGCACAAGTGTGCCTCTGACCGACCTACCTTGTACTTTGAGGCGAAGATGCCGTCAACGCCTCCCATGAAGCCGAAGAACTGTGAGTCAGGGTGCCACTTGTGGATGAAATCATACACACCCGCGATGACGTTGTGGCCGCCGGGGGCGGGGCCGCCGGAAAGCACGAGGCCTACACGCAACGGACGACGATCCTTGTGACCTGACGAACGGGCACACGGGCGCAGCACACCAACACAGTAAGTAGCTAGTTCGATGCCATTAAAATCTGGTGTGTGTGTCGCTTGACTCGCTCACCCACCTCCTGCATGGCCGTGTGTGAGTTCCACGTATGGCTGGCCGAAGGTGACTGGGAAGTCCGCCTTGAGGGCCTCGGTGTCCTGCTGCGGCAGTTCGGTGAGCTCCTCCTCGGTGAATGACACATCGTGGAGTGACTTGAGTGCGGTGGGAAGGGAGGGCTTCCACCGCTGGCGCTCTTTCTGGACGGGAGAGAAGGTGTCCTGCAGGTCGGCCGAGTGCATGTGGATCCTCTTTTGGTTCCGCATCATGAATGGGTCCACCAGCGACGGGTGGCCCGTCAACCGCTGCTGAGGGCTCTCCCGCCCGGAGTCGTACTGAGGCGTCCCTGGCGACTCCTCCCGAACAGCCCTGCGGCGGTCGTGTGCCGCTTGCGGCGACCCTTCCTCCTCGCCTACGGCCAGCAGCTCTCTGTTGTCCTGCAGCAGCACCGACAGGGATGACATCCGCTTGGGCGGCCCGAACATGCCGAACGCCTTGTCGTCCGATAGATTCATGTTCATCGTGCCGGCCCGCACCGGCTTCAGCTTCTGCAGCGAACAGGACACCCACAGGCACACACGCAGGAAGGAGGCAAGTGATGAGTCACTGCTGCACTGATCTGAATGATCTGACCTCTCTGTGCTGTGAACCTGCTACCCACCTCGAACTCTTCGTGCATCTTGGTGAGACCAACCCAACGAAGTCCCTGCACAGGATGAATCAATCAAAGGGATCTCCGCGGCGCTGCCTCAGACAAGCGTGGATCTGCGCCAGCCGAGTCAGCGGTGAGGTACTTGTGCTTCCTCCCCCTCTTGCCAGAGAGGCAACACTTGCGAGCTTGAAGCTGAGCAAGCTCACTCTCAAAGCGCAAGCAGATGAAACATCCAAAATCACCATCGGTAGGTAAGAATGGTTTCCAGCCATCATGCCAGTTTGTATCGGTGCATTGCAGAAGGGAGCTCCAGCTGCAGCTGCCCCACGAGCTGAGCATGAGGGCCATTTCGGGAGCCCCTCCCGCCCACAGGGGCAACCGGTATGGAAAAGGGCACACATCATGCAAAGGGCCGCCCAACTGTTTCCCGTGTTCGCAGCATGACATTGTGGTTGCTTCTACTTCCCCTCTCGGTCAGCCAAGCCACAAAAAGAGCTCCCTTTGCACGGCTTTCTGCCATTGTTTGTTGCGCAGATGACCCGCAGCGCATCTCACAAGCTGTCAATCGGTCGGTTGACGCGCTTGGGAGAGTCGTGTCTGCCATCGGCCATGCCGATGTGCGGACTCGAGATGCTCTCAACGAGGTCGTGTCGGTTCTGGCCGATTGCCGCCTATACATCTTGGGGACTCTCTTTCACCTGGACGGTCCTCAACAACCGGCGTCTCTTCCCCCAAGCCTCACCCCGCAAGCAGACACAAGAGAAGCTCATCTTCTTGCGCAGACTCTGAGGGTCAAGGATGAAGGCAGAAGCCAGCTGGAGTCGCCTGCCCAGTCGGTACTGGAGTCGCCATCCTCTGCTGCACGACACCCAAGGATGGCAGATGACTCAAAGGCCTCAGCCGCCCTCGCCGACCGCGACAGACTCATCGAGCAGCTCAGGAAAGAGCTGGAGACGCAGAAAACCAGGGTCGAGGTCAATACTGAGCTCAAGCAGGATTATGACAACCTTTCTCACCGATTTCGTCAGCTGGAATTGGCTCTGCACGACACAGCCAGGACAAGCGGTGCGAGTCCGGTTGGCGGAGAGCAGACTCTGTCGGCTCTTAACCACACCGTAGAACGGTTGGTTGCCGAGAATCATGAGCTTCGGCAGGGAGAGAAAGAGCGGATTGCTCTGAAGCGCGAGATTCACCAGCTGCGGTCAGAGCTTGATGAGAAGAATCAGCTGCTGGAGGGCATGGGATCGCCATCTCCCAGCAGCTTCAGCCCGCCACCCACTCGAGCAAGTGTCCCCCGAAGGGACACGCCTCTTTCCCAAACGGTGAGTACCAACCACGAGCCCGTCGGTGAGCCGATCCAAGCGCTGAGAAACGAATTGGAGCAGCTTGTCAAGCAAAACGAAGGACTGCTCGAGACCAAAAAAGAGCTGCAGGCAGCAAACGCCAAGCTTTGGGAAGAGAGCGTGACTCGGCACGACGAGGCTCGAAGACTCAAGGAAAAGGTTGAGGCACTGGAGAAGCGGCTGGCGGCAGCATCGCAGCCAGCCCCTCTCCCCCGTGCGCCGTCCTTCGAGTCATGTGAGTCGGCTGCTGAAGACGGCACATCCACCGTGCAGCAGAGGGACGACGGCGAGAATGAGATAAGGAACATGGTGGATTCACTCCGCGCTGAGGTGCAGACGCTGAGACACGAGAAGGACGCGAAGGAGCGGGAGATTGCCTGGTTGACGAAAGGGCATGGAGTACGAAGCGGAGAGGCGGCAGGCGCTTTTGGGGAGACAGTGCGGCAATTCGAACGGCAGCTGACATCAGACCTGGACCTGGCAGAAAGGCGTGGCAGCGGCAAACTGGTGTCTCAGCGGTCGCTGCAATCCTTCTTCACGACTGTGCGCCAGATAGCGCGAGAAAATGAGGACCTCAATCTCGAGCGACGAGAGATTGAGGATCTACGCCGGGAGCTGACTCTCAAGAACGACCTCATTCGGCTCATCAAATCACGAGTATCAAACGCAGAAGAGCTGAAGAGGACAGTGGACAGTCTTGACGAGGGTATGGATTCACTCAAGACAGAAAACAGGCGGCTGAGCATGGAGCAACAAAAAACATACGAAGAATGTGAACGACTTAGGACAGAGCTTAAGCGTGCAAGTGTCGTTTCGGATGACAATCAAGGCTTTTTCACGGCCAGGGAGGAAGAAAAGAGACTGACGGCGCAGCTGGAGGCCAAAAGGCTGGTGGCCGACACCGCCCTGTCTGCGTTATCGCGGTCTCAGCAGGAGGCCCATGCTGAAATGCTCAAAAGGGTGGCTCAGCTTGAGACTCTCAATGCGAGGCTCACGGCAGAGACCCAGCAAAAGGACGACGAGATCCGACGCCTGTCTTCCGAGATCACCGCCCCTGAGAAGAAGGTGGGCAGACGCTGCACGGACGCACCCACTTCATGTGCAGACCCTCTGTGTTCAGGACGAGCGTGTGGACCCAGAAGACTTGGAGACGTTGTATGACGCCGTCCGCAAACTTGATCTGCTGCGAAAAGACGCCGAGATGCTAGAGAGGAAGAATGAAGCGCTGGAGCAGGAGGCTAAGGAACAGCAACGCGAGAATGAAGCCCTTGAAGACCAAGTGCGGAGACTCAATAATGAGGCGACCATGCACGACTCGTCCGCAGAGAGAGCCGCCCGCGAGCTCAACGATGCCACAGCACACGTGCGAAGGCTGCAAGCAGAGCTCGAGCAGGCACACATGGAGAAGCGCCAGCTGAAAGAGCAGATCAAGGCCACACCGGTGACAACGCACTCGACATCCGTGACACTCACCCAGCGCCCCCGCCAACCGGCCAAAGAGGGGACAGAGTGGCTGCAACAAAAACGCTTAGTAGAGCTGTCGATGGGTGAGGAACCGGCTGATGCGAGGGCAGACTACTTGAGGCGGGAAAACCAGGACCTGACGCGGCAGCTCGAGAGCTTAACCAAAGAGCGAGAGGAGCTCTCAGGCCGTGTACGAGCCCTCGAGCAGCAGCTTGCCCTCACAGCACGACAACAGAAGGAGGAGCTATGGACTGAACCAGACAAAGATAGGCAGCCGGCTTCTGCAAGAGGAAGAGAGCAGGCGCTGGCCGTCTCCCCGCTAAGAGACGACAACATCAGCCTTACGCCCTCAACTCCGCCGTCCGGAGCCTTGTCTGCAAAGGGTGTGGTGCCAATGTCACCTCCAAAATCAACCCTTGTCGCCGTCCATCCTCCCAGCGCAGCTGCTGCTGCCGGTGTCTGCCCTGCTGAGCCTGATCCCGTGCCCGCCCTCGAGAAATTGCTCCAAATATCAACGCAGAAAGGGAAGGAGCCGCGAGAGGTGCTAAGCAAGGGGGACGAATCGATGCTGAAAGAAGTCAGAGGCCTCGCCGAGCAGATATCAGCAATCCAGTCTTCTATCCACTCCTCGAGGGCTCAACCCATCGAGAGCTTTCCCCCGTCGCTCGCCGTGGGCGCGACCGGGGGACAGGGGCAAGCGACGTTTGGAAGCCGCCCGCTCTTCGAGACGCTTCATGTGGACACCGATGACGGCATATCTGCACGGCTGAGGGGGCAGGATCTCTCCACAATGATGACTCTGCGCGATCAAAATGCAAATCTGCAAGAGACCGTTGCATCTCTGCAAGGAGGTACCTACCTACACAGTACGGCATGGATAATCTGCCATGCACACACGCGTCTTTATTTTGCTATGCTTTTCCAGACAAGGCGAAACTCAACGGTTTGCTAGATTCGGAAAGAGATCGTCGGCAGGAGGCGGAAAAGACGATGGCGGCCATGCGACAAGAGATGCAGGCTGAGAGACGGGAGCTCAAGGCCATGAAGCGCAATGGCACCGACGAAGTGAAGTAAGCGCACCCAGCACGCACACCAGAAACAGCCCATTTTCTATCCATCCATCCCGCATGTTCTTTCAGTCGTGTGCAAGCCCACTATGCCCAACTCAAGGTCGACCTCGAAAACGATCTGCAAGCAGTTCGTGAGGCAGCCACCAGACAGGAGAAGACCCTGAGGGAAGACATCGCAGATTTGCAGGTGCGTGGGGTGCCTCAAACAAAGAGCAAGACCCGCACCATGTGCCTTTGTGGACAGGCCAAGAGCACCAAGGAGTTGGAACGGCTTCGTAGAGAGGTCGGCAACAAAGCAGAGTCTCTGCGGCGCTTCGCTGACGACTGTGAGCATCTGCGGCGGGAAAAGGAAGAGATGGAGGCGGCCCTCAAACAGCAAATGATGGCCCTTGTCCAAGAAAAGCATGCATGCGAGCAGCACCTTCAGAGCCAACTGCAGACACTCAAAGACAAACACAGCCAAGTAAGCAAACATGCTTCAGCTGAGACGGTCTGACCCATGTTTCCATTCCATCCGTGATCGCAGACCGAGAGTGCCTTCAAAGCGGAAGTCGCCGCCATCCGAAGGGAGGGAGCCAGCTGGGAGAGGAACGCAAAGACACAACTGGCGCTGCTGCAGTCAGAAAAGGAAGCGATGGATCACACTTGGCGAAAGCGGAGAGCGCAGGAGGACCTTGAGCGACAGGAAAGGGAGAACAGGCTGCAATCTGAGCTGCTCCACCTTAAGCAGGTCACATCACACACAGCCTCGAGTGACACTCACATACAACCGACGCTGTGTCTTTGTTATGTCATGCACTGTATGTATGTCTTTTCATGTATGTATCAATCGGCAGGAGCGGCTGGAGTTGGCCACAGAGAAAGAGTCACTGCTGCGCGCAATGAATGAGGCCAGCCGGGGCGAGCAGGTGGCCAAGGATCAGCTGACGCACCTCAAGGCCGCCGCGGTCCGGGATGCCCAGGCCGTGGGGCAGCAGAGACAGGAGGAGGACAGCCGGGAGATCGTGAGGCTTAAATCATTGGTCAAGAGTCTGAAGCGTGACATGCGCCATACTTCAAAAGAGGCCTCCCAGGTGATTACGCGAATTCGAATATGTAAGCATATATGGGTCCGCGTAGGCGTCCTCCTCGTGTCTGTCCTGCGTTCCTACATCGACCTCTGTGTCTGGCGTGTGTGTGTGTGTGTGTGTGTCATGCAGTTGCTGAGTGAGAATCAGCAGTTGCAGAAGGCCCTTGTCTCATCACAGGCAGTCTTGAGTGACCTGAAGCATAAAGCCGACGAGCAGTGTACCTCTCTGGTGCAGACGACCAGTGTGTACCCCGAGACATCACCGAAGAAGCGGTGGCTCGAGAGGCACCTGCTCGAGACACTGGAGTCCTACAAAAATTCTTTGTCGAGCCTGTCCGCTTCCCTCGATCACATACCCATTGCTACTGGCGGTCAAGATGTGAGGCGGCGTAATATTGACACGCCCTCGGAGCCGGCGACATCGAGAAGTGATTGGCATATCCATATGTCGGAGCCGCCCTCACCGCCGCCCCCGATTGTAGGCGGCAAGAGGCAAGACGCTGATGATACAGTGGACAAGTAGACAGAGAGACAGGGAGGGGCGCCAAGTGGATATGTGGTCTGAGTGTATGGATGATGTTTTGTCGATCGATGTCTGTTTGCATCAGTCTGTCCTTTATTGTGGCTTTAGATAGATAGAGCTTTGATTGTGGTGCCGCACCGCATGTCGGTGAGTGAGACGAGGGAGGCGGCCCGCGACACATGGATTGGGTCAGCTAGAGCGATACATGTGCACTCACTGTGCTGTAGAGATTAGAGATCACGCAATGACACTCCGCTCAACAGACGACGAAAACCAACATTGACGTGCTCTGTGCAATTAATCGCCTTGCTCATCAAGCGCATCGCACCGCAACCACGCCGTATCAGAACGCCCTGAAACGACCGCGGCGGTGCAGTCGACATCATGAGCAAGACGATCGACCACACGTAGATTGCCGCCGCTACGAGCTGGCTGTGCAATGTCCACACAAAACACCCAATGGCACACGCAAAATGCTAGGCGCCTGGGATACAGCGTACCAGTCCCATTTTCGACTGAACCATCGATCGAATTGCCCTCCCTCCCTCCCTCCCTCCCTCCCACCCGCCCCTCTCTACTGTACATCCATCCATCCATCCACACTCGCATCCCATCTCTCTCTCTACATCCGAGCTGGGTGAGTGACTTGCGAGGCCATAAAGAGGCCACTCACTCTACTCTCTCGACATCGATGTTCATTCACGCGAACTCGCTAGGCGGCTTGGAGGGGCCTTGCTGCTGCCTCATTGTGTTTTCCCGGAGCCTCTCGTTGACGCGTTTCCATTCGGAGAAGGCATCGATGAACTGCTGAAAGGCGCCGCCAGTCTTGAAGCTCTCGTCCTTATAGGCCTCCCGCACGCCGCCGCCGCTGAGTCCGCCCTTGCCCTCGATCCATCTGGTCTCCTCGTGGTGACCCCGCACCTCCAGCTCGTCGGTAGCGGTAGCCTCAGCGGCATCCGTGTGGCCCTCCTCATCGTGAAACGCAGTGGATGGCGCCTTCTGACGGAACAAACAGCGTATCTACTGGTGGGCTCAGCGATGAGTGAATTGGTTGTGGCGGCATGCGCGCTCACCGTGTGCTTGTGTTTCTGCGGGTCGTATCTCTTCGTCTTGGGCGACTTGATCTTGGCCTTGATGGCCTAAACACCCCAACACAACACACCCCAAGACAGCCCCACCGTGGGAACAGAGATGGACGGCAAGGAGGGACTCATTCAGGTGCACCGCCGTCCGTCACTGTTACGTACTCTGTTTCTGTAGTACTGTGCCATCTTCTTGCGCACTTCTGCGGCCTCCGCCGGGGTGGGGGAGGGGGGAGGAGGAGGGGGAGCAGCCGCCAAAGAATCATCGCTGGCGGCGTGTGTGTTGCCGAGCGACGGGACTGCCCACTCATCACCCGAATAGACCGCCTCGGCGCTGCCATCGGCTGATTCAGGTGCACCAGCAGAGTCCTGCAGACAGACAGGCAGGCGGACATGTGCATGGTACACACGCGCGTGGCCCGATCGAATATTGATTGGTGCTGACCTGTCTTGGTGGAGGTGTGTTTGATGAGATGGGCATCCATCCCATGGCGTTGCCGAGGGGCATGTGGATGGACGGGGCCTGCCACTTGAACTGGGCATGCGTCGTGCCCAGCGGCTGTGGCGGGTTGTTGACTGCCCCCGCGGACACGTGGTGGACATGCTGCTCATCCTGCATGTATCACATCCACACACACAGCCAGCAATGCAAAAAGCATAACGATACGATCCCCAATATCGACGGACATATTCTTTGTGATGTGCGGTGGCCTCACTTCTGTGTCCGTGTGTTGCTCCTCCTTGGCCGACGACCCCGAAGGCAGTCTCTCCCCGAGTCGTTCCACGGCCTCCTCCTCCTCAGACGGCTCGCCGCTGTCCTCACTTGCCGTTGAGCCGTACGCATGATGGTCATAGGCACTCATGTCGCGCCGCCGAGACATCGACCGATAGAGAGAGATCGCCAGCACGGACCCGCCGAAGAAGGTGGCCATTTTGACAATAGCGCGGAATGGCGGTATGGACTCGTCGTGGAATCGGTGGCCGTACCGCTCGTGGTATGCGGAGCTGCTGTGGAAGGATGACCTTTCCTGTTGGCGCTGTTGGCGCCGTTGGCTGCGGTCGGCTGACTCGCCCGGTCTGTACTGGGAGTGCCAGCCCTCGCCAGCCCCGCCTCCGTGTGTGTAGTACTGCCCGAAGGGCGACCGGGTGAAGTCGTGGCGCTGCCGCCAGGCGTCATCGCGGGCCTCGGAGGTCGGGCCGCTCTCCGGTGAGGCTGAAGTGCTGGCGGCCTCACGGCCCTGCATTATCGACATGGCTCTCTCGTACTCTTCCTTCATCTGCACCGGCAGACAGACACCAGATAGATGACAGGACAGGACGCTTGACATCCATGTCGTAGATGCCCACCTGCACAAACTTCATGTGGTCGTCCGTGGGCCCCTGCGACTCCGTAGTGTCGGGATGGCATTTCTTGGCCGCCTTGAGGTACGCCGCCTTGAGCTCCCTCTCGCTGCAACCAGGCTTCAAACCGAATGTCCGCAGCAGGTCGGTGAGACCTTTCATGCGCGCCGGGATGGTGCGGCCCGCCATTATAGACGGATGGACTCAGCCCAGCACAGCGCGTGCAGCAAACACAGGACTAGTCGCGCACAAACTCTGAACAAACAAAAAAAGCTCAGCAGATGGATTTGTGCCGTCATCTTGGATAAAGCGTGGTCTACCCAGTGCCGTCATGGGATTCTTCCGTTCACTCCTCCAGGCTTCTTCCAAGCTTGCAGTCGCGAGTGACCTCCGGCGGACCGCCCTTCCCCAGGGCCCGGCACTTCCGTGCGTAAGCGCAGCACAGTACATAAAGCGAGATCTGCGCGCTGGTCTCTGGATTGTCGTCCTTGGTGCTTGTCCTACCTCAGGCGCGACTCGACTTGCCAGCGCAGACCCCGGCTGCTGAGGCGCCCTGACACCCACAAACGCCACGCACAGCTGCGCCACCCTCTTGGTCATGATTCCTCTGAGTGACGCCATAGCAGCAAGGACTACTGATGTGAGGATGGCTGGGTGCCTTCCTGGTGCTGTGTTCCGAGCACCGGCTGTCTCATCCATCGGCTCAATGCGCCACGGCCTCGTGCTGACAGCATGTCAGTGATCACCTGCCCCTGCAGAAACACTCAATGGCTCAGCCGCCAGGTCCATACCCATTCATTCCCACAAGCAAGATGGTGGCATCAGTTCAGTCAATCGATCAGCGGCAGTGTTGTGTCATGTGTGTGTGCTGCAGGCCGTGCCCCTCCTCATCCTGCGTCGTCTCCATCTGGCTCTCCATCTCCCTCCCATCCCTCCACCAGCTTAGCTTCCCAAGAACCATCGGCTCCACCCGTCCCTCGGGGGCTATCGCAGCACCGCACTGCCCCTCCTCACAGCAGCCCGCCACAGCCACCAGACGTATCGCAGCCCAGCCACCGACGAGCGTCTGAACCTCCCACATCCTCGCCACAGCCGTATGAGCCATCCGCACCCCCTCCAGCTGCTGTTGCTGCAGCCGCGGCGAGCTCTGGGCCACCGAGTGGTGAGGGATCTGCGGTCGTCGTGCGGGGCCCTGGTGAGGGAGGGGGCGCTCCGGTGTCGTCGCTTGACGATTATCGGCGGCTGCTGGCTCCCTTGACGCGGCTGCAGCTCATTGAGATGCTGGCGCAAGCTTGCGCCGGCAGGCTGCCAACAAGCGCCAACAGCAATGCCGTCAGAACGGAGGTCATGAGAGTCGTCGGACGGGTGAGTGAGTGGGGCAGAGAGGAGCGACCGACCGAGAGACGCGATTCCAATTATCATGTTATCACAGACCTGCTTTGTGTGTTTGTCGTTTAGTCTCGTGCCCACCGTCGGACGTATGTGAAGAACCTCCCCTACTCGTCTGACCAGAGTGTCCTGATCAGGGAGTTCAGCCGCTTCGGCGAGATTGAGGAGGCTGGTACGTCATTGACACACACACACACACACACAATGCCGTGCGCATGTTGGATCCTTCCTGTGTGTAGTTGTGGTTCGTGACCATTTGGGTCGGAGCCGCGGCTATGGTTTCGTGACTTTTCAGACGATGGAGGCAGCGAGAAGAGCGGCGACGACTCCGATGGTTATCGACCGCCGGCAGGTGCTGGTGGGCATCGCCGCCGACATGTATGGCCTCGACGCACCTGACGACGTTGCGCGCCGGAAGCTGTTCGTACGCAATCTGCCGCACTCGGTTACGCCATCCGTTCTCGAGAGGGCCTTCGCACAGGTCGGTGTCGGTGGGTCACCAGAATGCCCAAACCAGCGTATGTATCCAGTAGCCATTCCGGTGTGTGTCTGTCCCTGGTGGTATGCTGTGTGGTTAATGACATTCAGTATGGGAAAGTGCACGAGTCGGTGGTGCTCTACGACCGCTACGGGATGTCACGTGGATTTGGGTTCGTCACCTTCACTGACGTCGACGCGGCGCATCGGGCGCTGCTGGACTGCGAGCAGATCATCCATGACCGACTCTGCTTCGTGCACCTGGCCACTGAGGTACACTACACAGGGGCCCGGCGCACAGGGACCCACAGGCAGGCAGAGACACCATCCGCCCTCCCACACCGCACGTGTTGTGTCTCTGTGTGTGTCTGCGTGTGTGCAGAGGCAGAACGGGGGGGGTGGAGGTTCCCCGAGTGGTGGCGGCCGTCTGTCAGGCACCCGCGCGTCGATGGAGTCCGGCACTGTCATGGGCCCTGTTCCGCCCATCACACAGATCCGGCCGCACCAGTTCTTCTCCCACCCACAGGCATACTCGTCGGCCTATCCAGCAGCAGCAGCAGCACAGATGCCCTACCCCACCACCCCTATGGCCCAGGCGGCTCCCGCCAGCTCATCGTCGCCCTTCGCCTCCGTCACTGCACGGCCGCCTGGCGCATACCCACGGCCACCACAGCATCTCGCGTACGAGCGGCCTGCCAGCCCAATGCTGCCGCCATCTGTGGACCAGCAGCAGCAGCAGACATACCAGCAGTACTATGCTGGAGCCGCTGGTGGCCACCAGGGGGGGCGAATGGCTGCTGAGGGGACGTATCAGCAGCATCAGCAGCAACAAGGGCCCCAGGTCCACAGCCAGGCCGGGTACCCGACATATCCGTATGGATGGGCGTTTGCGACGGGGGGCGGAGGGGCGTCGTCGTCGAGTGCCCCGCGGCCGCCCTACACGGGATGAGTGCTGGTGGCTGGGCAGGGAGGGAGGGAGGGAGGGAGCCGTCGTGGAAGTTCCGGAGGACGAATATCGTTCAATGGACACGACGGGGAAATGAATGCGTGACAGCTACCTCTCTAGCCATGCTCTACTTACCCTATTTCTCGTCCCACATCACATGGGTGAGTTATTTACTTACTTACTGGGTGGATGGATGGATGGATGCACCCACGAGTGGTGCCGGGATGAGATGCCGTGCATGCGATGCGTACATCCGTACGAGGGTTTTGTTCGATCGATGTTTGGCATTTCTTTCTTTTTCTCCGTGGCTCTCGAAGTGAGTGGGAGCTTTCGCGATGGCACTCCAATCGACACATCATATCTATCTATCACTCACTCTTGTATCGGTTTGTCTGGCTCCTCGCCTCGTACATACGGCGCCTGCCTGGCCTGCCGCATACATACAAGATGCATTTCATGCCGGGCCTTGTGCGCTTCTCTCTCCCTGTGTGTGTCTGCGTGCCGATCTGGCACGCCAGTCTGCCTGTCTGTCCATCTGTCTGCTTTGTTTGTAGGCGATACAAGGAGACGGACGGAGACAGCGGAGTCCATAGGTCTCTATCCACTGCTGTGACCGTTTGAGGCGCGAATCGGGCATTCCGGCTTTCCTAAGCGATCACTGTGTGTCTCCTCACTAACCCCACTCGCCCACCCACCCGCCCTACCTGGGCACCTCTCTC